AGATGTTTTGTCTACATGAGATGATTATTTCCTCTTGAAACAGTCTCAGTTTTGTGGAGGCTCTGATGTAATCCAAGGTGACCATAGTTTTAGGTAATGACTTGAGATCCCTGAGTACTCTCTGGTAGTTGAATTTCCCTGTAAATCTTTTATCTCCATGTCCTCAGTTTTGAAAAGGGAAGAAATATGTTATGGAAATTCAGGGCTAATGTTTATATGCAGAGCTAAGCGAAGATCTGATCCAAAGTCTTAAAGTAATAAAGGAGACATACCAAATGAAAGTCAAACTTTGTTCTGCTTTTCATTCTGGAGGCCCAGGTAAAAAGTCACTTTTCTTCAGCAAAAAGCAGTTGTTAGGTCTCTAGTTGCCTCAGAAGAAAACACAAATCATGCTTGTTATGGCTTGTATCTACATTTCCCCAAAATCCTCATGTGCTCATAAGTGGAGCTTTTTTAAAGTGGCTAAATCTAGGGTGTGTGAATATGGATTATGGGTGTGCAGTAATGGGACTAGCCCACTGATTGGATTAGTATAGTTCCAGGTGTGGCTGAATTGATTTACTGAAGATGGAAGACCCAACCTGGGTGTGAATGGCACCAACCAATTGGCTTGTAGCCTGAATAAAGTGGGAAAGGGAGGCTGATTGCTTGCTGCTTCCTGCCTTCCCTGCCACAGACTGTTTCTCCTCTCTGATGCCCCTTTGCCATACCACCCTGCCTTGGAGCCAGCCAACTATGGACTGAAACTTGTACAAACTATGAGTTAAAATAAATCTTTCCTCCTTTAACTTGTGAGTATCAGGTATTTTGTCCTAGCAATGAGGAAGTAACTAAGACAGTGGTTTTAATGAGTAACAGGTTAATAGCCCAGGAGTTTGTTTTTCCCCTGTCCCTGTGGTGGTCTCTGTCTCATTCCATATGACCCTTTGTACATGAACAAAGCAGATGGTTCTTACTTAGATATTATCCTTAACGTGTAATTTAATTTACAAAGTTATTGCTGGGGATTTAGATAAGTAGTTCCAGTGCCTGCCTTGCAAGCTCAAGGTCCCGAGTTTGATTCCAGGTACAAAAACAAAGTTATGCAAAGGCCAGGGATGTAGCTCAGTGGCACTGTGCCTGCCTCCCAAGAGCAAGGTCCTGAGTTCGATCCCTGGGACCAAAAAAAAAAAAAAAAAGACAAAGTTATGCAAGAATATAAAGTAAATTATCTATACTCTTATTAGTTCATAGTCTTTCACTGATAGAGTGCACCTATCCTCTTTTTTTTTTTTTTTTGGTGGGGGATTGAACTTTGGACCTTGCGCTTTCGAGGCAGGCAGCGGAACCACTGAGCTAAATACCCAGCCTACCTATACTCTTTTAAAAGAGAGGAATATGATAAATTAAAGAGTAGACAGACTTCATTCTCATTCAGATAACATTGGACATAGAACTGCGGGTGAGGAGTGTGTGTGTGTGTGTGTGTGTGTGTGTGTGTGTTTGATTTTCTAGGTTAGAGATCCAGAAAAACTTGCCCTAGTTAAGAATTCACCAGCTACTATATTTCTTTAGAGAATTTGCTTTAATGTTACATGTACAATTCCTGTGAGTTGCCACCCTTATGTAAAGATTGATTAAAGGGTCAGATTTACTAGTTTTTTGATATTAGGAAAGAACTCTGCTCTAGGGAACACTTATGCAGATATTGCAAGTTTTCTTGCTGGAGACTTAGATGAAAAGAAATTAGAAAAGAATTTGGAGCCCTGAGTTCAAAGAATTTAGGGAATGAGGCCTGATTGTAGTTTTTATTTGAATTTGACAGAGGTGATTTTTCTTTACTTCTCTAGGAAGGCTGAAAATCAAATTAAATGGGGCAATATAAGTGAAAAGAGTTTATAAATAGTATGCTTTATATGAAGGTAAGGTAATCACTATCTTGGCTAAGGTAGGCTGTCTCTTTTCTTGGGGAGTCTTTCCTAGTGCCTTGTCAGACTGAATGAATCCTCATGTGCCCATAATATAGTCACAAGTAAACCAAATATATTTCTGCATTTTCCTTTTCCAGTTGTATACTGAGCTTTGTGGATGTTATTGAAACAATATATACCATGGGGCTAGATTTGTGGACATACATTTTGCAGATTTCTTTTCCTAAAATCAGAGCACAAATTACTCTTAGCTTAAAGTACTTGTATTGCATTTTAATAGCTCTAAGGCTTTTTTAAAAATGAAGAATAGGTTATGCTTCCTTTAAAAAATGTTAATTCAAATATAGAAAACAGCACTCTTCATATTGAGAGTTTTTGAAGCCTGCTCCTGAACAGAATTACAAAGCAAACTCTTGAAAGCAAAGTAGATGATGTACTGTCTATATTTAGGCCTCCACTTGTTTATAGTTTCAAAATCAGTGGGAAAATCATGATCAAAGGCAGGGTCATTCATACAGAAAATTGTAAGACTACTTCACATGGCTATGTTCTGTAAAGAGTCTTTGATTCAAATGTTTCACATGATGAAAAAATGTCCTATTGGTTCAGAGTTCCTTCTGGCAATAAACTTCCAATGTAAACAGGAAAACTATAAGGCCTCTTGAAAATTTTAGAGACAAATGATACTCATTGCCTTGCACTCAATAATTCTAACTTTGAGACAAGAGTTGGAATGATTAGTAAAAAAGTTTAGGTTCTAAATTCAACATGAGGGCTTAGTACCACTATTGTAATAGAACCTTGTTTTGGAGCGGGTGCAGCAGTAGTTTATTGAACAAATGGGAAGGGTATACGCTATTTAGTACCTTCAATAATAGCTCTAAAACTCTATGATTTAAATAATTTGACAGTTGCATAATTTCTAAAGAAAAGAACTGTAAATTCCAACCCATTGTGTTGATTGATACTAGACGGGAAGAATATCAGTTTCCCCAAAGTTGGAAGAATGTAATTTCAAAGACATTATCCATTGTAATTAGGGAGAAAAAAGACTAGAGAACTTTTTAGCTGAGGTAGTGACTACTCTTTATGATAATAAAGTGTAGTTTGTATCTAATTTGTATTTAGGACTAATTGAGTGGGTAAATCAAGTGTACATACAACACACAATCAAATAATAATTTTAAAAGAGTTGCCTGGATTTTCTTTGCTAAAACAAGAAGTATGCAGTTAGAAATTTCATAGCAGGCTGAAATATAAGGGATACGGTGTATATGGGAGCAAGTGTATGATAGTGCACACACTTTGTATATCTTTAATGCCTATTTAAGTTCTGGGAATAAGGCATGTCTCTGAATTGGAGTGAATTTTTCCAAAGTTAAAATATGAAAGGAAAACTGAAAAAAAATTGTGTTTGGGTCCTCATAAACAATTGGAAAGATTTAGATTTGGGGTGGAAATTGGGGTGAGGTGCAGTAAGTTGTTTTTGAATTAACAGTAGACATAAACCCATCAGCCTCCACCTGAACCAATCGTTTGGAAAACAAAAACATTTGGCTTGGGGAACTAAAGAGAGAGCCCTTGAACTTTTTCTTCCACCTGCGGGGAAGTGAGGAGGGTACTCATCTGCTATGATGTAGAGGGAAGCGCAGCCCGGAACTCCTCTTTTGGGACCCTCCCTCCCCCTTGTCCCTTACTCTAATGTGAGAATAAGTTCAGAGCTTTTCTGGAGCTATTGCAAGGGCAGTGGGGCCAGGTGCTTAGAATGACTGGTTGCAATAAGGCAAGCTTTAGAATGAAGCGGCTTCGCTGAAAACTCACGCCGAGAAATGTGCTGGATGGAGCCCCCGCGAGTCTGTTCTTGGGTTTGAAATGCCTGCTTTTCCACTCTCCTTAGCTTCCTGAGCAGCATTTGCAGCCAAGGGCAAACAGACCGCGTATTTGGCGCAAAATGCTCAGAGGCCAAGGGACAAGGGATCCTTCTCTGGTCTCCTGCGGCCCAGGTCTTGGGCAGTGGAGTCTGCAGAACTGGTTTTTTTCCCCCTCGTCCGACGGGCGGGCACCCGCGGCTGCAGGTGGCAGGCGGAGCTGTCCAGCACTAGTGCGGAGCCCGCAGGAGATGAGAGCCCCGCGCGCCCCGCCGCTGAGGCTAAGCGACAGGGCTGTCGCCCGAGCAGCTACTGTCCTCGCTCACTGTCTCCGGGTGCTCGGCTCGCTCCGCGGCCGCGCGGCCTCGCTGGAGGCGGGGAACGCAGGTCCCCACAAGCCGCTCCCGCCGGCTGGGCGCCAGAATGTGGCCCCTTTCCTTCCCTCCCCTGTAAACATCTCTTCTGGAACTGGCGGGCTGAACATCTCTGTCTTCCGCTTTCGCCTCCGAACTTCCAAAATAAACTCGGAGGAAAGCTGGGAGAAGACAGACTCGGACCCTCACCCCCACTTCGCTCTGTCAGGCTTCCCCCAGGCTCTAGAGGGCGATCTCCGCCCCCGGCCCCGCGCCCCTCTCTCCTCGCCCCTCCAGCGCCCGCCGGGCCCGTCCGCTGCCCCGCCGCCTCTCCCGGGGCCTAGTGTGGAACATTCGGGGTTGGCGACCCTTGGTTCGATCCGAGCCTTGGAGCGCTCCTCCCCGTAGCCGGGGACGGTCGCAGCGGGGAGGGCGCGCAGAGGACAGAGACAAAGTGTCCTCGCTGCTCCTGAAACGTGGCGACAGGCGAGGCAGACTCCCGAGGAGTATGATGGCGACACGTGACGCCGGCGGAGGGAGAGCACGGGGGTGGGGTGGGGGATAAAGGGAGGAGGGAGGCGGGCGGCGAGCAGAGAGGCGGGAGGAGCGGGCAGCGGAGAGGGGAAGGGGCGAGACCGGCGCTGGCGGCGGAGCCTCGGCTTCAGCCTCACAGCCTCGCGCCGCCCGGCCATCGCTCGCAGCCTCCGCGGGCAGCGCCGCGCAAGGCGAGGCGACCAGGCGGGCAGCAGCGAGGCGGCGGCCCCCAGCCCAGCCCTGCCCCGACCCAAGCTGCGGCGGCTCCCCCGAGTTCCTGCCATGGGCTCCGGGGACCCCCGCCCGGCCGACCGCGACCGCAGCTCCTAACGCCGCCCTCGCCGGTCCCGCGCCGCCGCCGCCTTCGCCCGCGTCCCCGCCGCCCTCCGCGGCCGCCGCAGCGCAGCCCCCAGCATGTCTCGGAGGAAGATCTCGTCCGAGTCCTTCAGCTCCCTGGGCTCTGACTACCTGGAGACCAGCCCGGAGGAGGAAGGGGAGTGCCCGCTGTCCAGGCTGTGCTGGAACGGCAGCCGCAGCCCTCCCGGGCAGCCCGAGCCCAGCGCGGCGGCGGCTGCCGCCGTCGCCCCGGCCCCCGCTGCTTCCGCCGCCGCCGCCGCCTCGGCTACGGCGGGGGCCAGGAGGGCGCAGCGCCGCCGGCGGGTCAACCTGGACTCGCTGGGCGAGAGCATCAGCCGCCTGACGGCGCCCTCGGTGAGCGGGGACGGAGGGCCCGGCGGGAGAGGGGACCGGGCTCGGGAAAGTTGGAGCCGGGGACCAGGGGCCAGCGCACCGAGCCGGCCGCTGGGGGGCGGCTCGCCCTCACCCTACGCGACCTAGGGCTCCGGGACGAGACCTGAACCCCTGCACTCGGAGTAGACACCTGAAAGGACCGAGAGTCCGCCCCTTCCCGGGTCTCCGGAAGCCAGCGCCTGTCTGCCCGCTTCTGTGTTGGATCCTCTTTTGGCCCTGTCCCCTCCCCTGGCCCCACTGCTCCTTCACACCCACCTGTTCTCTTTGCCCCAAACTTTCCCAGGCCCTGTGTTCTGCAGTTCCAATTCCATGTCTTTCATTTCTCCTCTCCAACATCCCAAAGGGGCCCCAATCCCTTATGGGAAGCCCTCCCTCTCTTCAATTCCCACACTCTTTTGGTCTTAGTGTGACCTTCTGTGACATCTTTGAATTCCACAGGCTGTCTGCTTTCTCCCTTTTCTCAAGTCTCGGGAATTTTGTCAGAAACTCTTCTAGATTGCCTTCTAACGAACAAACCTTAATCTCTGGTGTTCTCTGCCTTTTCTTCTTAATCACTGGGCATTTATGGGCTCAACCTTCTCTGGGTAAACCTGGTATGATTTTCTAAACCTGTCTGGTATTTCGTGCACACTTATCCCATCCTTTATTCTCCCTTCCCCGGATTCTCCAGGGTTTTCTTCCTCACTTTTTTCATGCCTTCCTTCTGTTAGGCCCTTCATAAATATTTGTTGAATGGATAAAGGCCTTCCAGTCCTTCTCCAGACCTGTGCTAATCTCAGGATGTCTGTGTCAGCAGTTCTAGGGGTAGCCCAACTCCCGACGGCTTTCAAATCCTTCCAGAGGGCCACTGCCTCAGTCCCTCTGGGGCACCCCAGCTACCCTTGTAGGAATGCTAGGCCTCTAACCCAGTTTTCCCTGTCGGAGTGAACTCTCTTTTCAAGGAATCCCCTCTATTGCAGACAGAAATCAAAGGAGATTCAGCGTGAAATCTCCATCCACTATTTATCCTTTATCCTCACCCGGATCTTGGAAGCAAAGAGTTTAATTCCTATCAACCCTTTTCCCCTGTTCATACCAGAGTCATTAACTTCTTCAAAGTTTACACAATGGATCTGAACATTCATCTTGTTTGATTGTTTCTAATTCTCCCTGTGGAATGTGGCTTGCCAAAGATGGTAGGAAGGACCTGAGGAGTGGAACAGGTGAGGCACCAGGTTCTAGTACCAGGCAATCCTACAAGTGTGCCAGTGGTACTTACATTATTCTTTTAGCAGTGAAAATACTTTTCAGTCACCTTCTTCTAATGTTTTACCCTTTAACATGCCTTCTGCCACTTTTTCAGTTGATAATCCCGAAGGAAACCTCACAATGGTCTGGCTGCTGTTAGAGACTCTTCTCTGAAAATATTTCCCAGGCAGCACAATCTTAGGAGCTATTTAATGTTGTAAATTGTTGAATATATTCCTTTATGAGAGGAATTCAGTAACTCTGCGTCTTTAGCAATGTTGGTTCAATATACTAATTCTTCAGTACAACAGATTCATGTTTAATACAATGATCTTACTAAAAGTAATGATTAGTTTCAGTGGAATTGTCTTCATAACTCTGGGGTGTTTTTGGCCTAAGAATCAGAATTTACAAATTTCTGGAAAGTAATGACAGTGCCTTTGGTAATGCCAACTTAACCAGCTACTTTCAACAACTTATGTGAGGAATCACTAAAATAAACCGGAAATATTTACTGCCAGATTAAGAGGAAGGAAATAGCCTGTTACCTCTGTAATAAAATTTGAATGACTCTGGAGATGAAAAGTGTGTACCTAGATAATAATTTTTAGAAGAAATTTGAAAATAATTGTGATGATCAAACTACGCTGAAGCTCTATATATTTTTCATGCTGTAATTATTTTACATTTTGAAAAATGTCAGGCACATGCAGAGAACATATATATAGTAAAAGTAAACATTTTCAACCTTACAGGGCATGTATAGAAAAATTCTCATTGGTTACGCACATCACGGGCAGGTGTATTTCAAAGGAGTGACTTATTTCTGTGTGTCTCTACCTATTTTCTTTTATTTGGCAAGCAGGGCACTGCCTCTTGAAGTTCAAGTAGATTCATTCTCCTACATTTTCAGGATCCTAAACTTCTCTAAAAACACTTGGAGAGATGGGATATGTTCACTCTGTTCACTCTCATTAGCAGCTTACATTTTTTTTTTTTTAAAACACATAGAATAGCCAATTCCAGGGCGTTTTTAGATGGCAATATCTAGTTGCTTTTAGTGTTGTGTGGTTTCTTGCATTCATCATGATACTGTATATATTTCAGGATGAACTATACTTGCTCCGCGAGCTCGTTTTCACTTAGTGGTCTGATAGTGATATGGCTTTATCACTTGGGGTTTGGTCTTTATTCAGAATGATTTGCAAGGAGGAAAAGGGAAATGTATTTAATTAATACTAGGACACTGCCAAGTAATTAAAATAGTTATTTGACCCAGGGAATATCCAAACTCAGGATTTTGACATTTTAATAATCATTTTTACATACATTGATGTTGGATGTAAAGTTTATAATACTTTACATTATTTAAATAATACAAGTAAATTAATTTGGGGAAATAGAGAAAATTCCAGAATTCAGGAGACCCAATTCTAATTTTCTTTGAACAACCAAATGCTTGTATGTATATCTCTGAGAAAACTACTTTAACTTTCTGGGATCCTTCTCATCTGTAAAGTGTTATACTTAGGGTTCCTTCCTATTCTGCGGCTCTACAAGGCATATATTATATTATCAGGGCTTGGATAAACTGTCCCAATGCATATGAAAGAGAAAAAGGTGTACATTAGTTTTAAAACATTTTTAAAAGTAGGGGCATCAAAGTTCTATTTAATTAATTATTAAAATTTAAGAATCTATGTGGCAAGTATTGTGGAGAGTACTGGCAATAAAAATACCAAACAAAACATAAAAATATATCCAGTCTTTGAACTCATGGTACTTCCTTAATTTTGTTTTTATGTTAAGGAAACTATGTCTTGGGGACGTCTAGGGGAAGTTTTATTTATCATCCACTTTGGGTGGTTTTCTTCACTTTGAATTTCTGGATTATAATTATCATAATAAAAATAACCCTAAAGACCTGATTAAAGACACATAAATCACTTACTGCGTTATTTATTTTGAAATAATTTAACGTTTGAGGACACATATGGAGAAAAAGCTGGGGACTTTACATAGAGGGTGAATTTAGTAACTCATGTGTTTAGCTGCTTATTTTTACAAACCAGAGTTGCTTAGTCGCCTTGTCACTGTAACATCAGTTTTGAGTTTGCCAGTGTCAGCCTGTTAATGAAGATGGAGGAGTAGAACAACTCACTGACAAGGCTTTCTTAGGATTTCTGTCGGAGAACTACTAGTTGTTACAATATTGCATGTGGCTTTGAAGACCTCAGAATCTACCAAGAACAAAATGACATGAAGAAAAGTAACAGTGGAAGGATGGCAGACAAGGGGAATAAAGCTACTGACAAAGGGCATTGTCCAAGAGAGGAAGGAAAAGTGAAAGGAAGCTCAAATTCAAGTGAAGAAAGTCTTTTATTTTGTAAAAGGAAATTATATTAATACATGTTTATGAAAAAATGAAAAGACATAAAATATGTATTCAACCTCTCTTCATATTAAATAAAATTAGTTGTCTGACTTGTGTAAACCCTTAATGAGATGTATACAAAAGTTATCTGCAAGGTAGGATGTTGGATAATTTATGTATTTTAATCAATGCTCTTTAAATTTGGGGCTCAAATTGGCTAAGATTCAGTGGCTGTCTTTTGCCTTTCTATGCTTTATTTCTAATCATTGAGAAATAATGTGGCAGAATTTGACTAATCCCCTGCTGAGCTAAGAGTGAGATTCTGAGAAAGCCATTTTCTACCTTCTGTGAGCCTTAGTTTCTTCTTTTGTGAAATAGGATTGATAACTACCTTGTAGATTTGTTATAAAAGAGGAGCAATATTCTTTGTAAAACTCTCTGAATTCAATAAATAATAGTTTCAAGATGAGATCCATTAATTTCAACAAAACTTGGATACCTCCAAAAGATGTTTTTTTTCCCCTTTTTTTCCTCCTTAATTCGCTTACTTGTAACTTTGTTGGAAATGTTTGTAGAATAGGTTAACAGATGTTAAGTCCCTAAAAACATAAAGATAATAAATGTTTTATTTTGTTGGCATAGCCAGCCAATCCATTAAAAAATTAAAACTGCAGTCCCTTTTTGACTCCTGGGCTCTGACTCACACGTATACACAGGCATATATAATCATTTTAGATTCAAACATTTCCATCAATTTACCTAATGCTGTGTGGTAATATGAAAGACACTTATATGAATTCTATAAAAAAATTGAGGACAAATACATGTGGAGAATGTAATTTCTTTACAACAAATTCTAGTAAAAAAACGTGAAAAAGTGACTGCTTGTTTGAGAATTTCAGGGATTCCTCACCTTTTGCATTCAAACTGTTCTGTATGTGTGTTGAAAGGTCTCAGCTGTCCAATGCAACAAATACCCAGCTAATGACATATATGTGTGGTCTGTGTGGACAATGCTCTATCCTTTGACTACCAGGTCAGTTGCCATATAAGGCCTTCATTTTAAAGATAAATTTTGACAATGAGAAATGGCTTCAGTGATTATTAATTTGTCAGTAGAGGTGATGTGATGACATGTTCATCTTTAGTGTATAATTTGTCTACTTTGAAGGATTCCTAAGTACATGGAGAGAATACTTCGGTGTTATTATGTGCTAATCTTCATATCACTATAGCTCTTCATTCACCATTACTTATGTTTTGTTGCCTCTTTCCTACAAAGCTGAAAGTAAAGTAAAATGTAATGCATATTTTATTCAGTGTAACAAAATAAATGCATTATTTTTGGACATATATATTG